AAGATGAAGAGGGGTAGGATATAGGGGAGAGCTGGAGGGGACAGCATGGCCCAGTGCCTGGGGCCAGGGGAAGCTCAGCCTTTCTCATTGTGGACTCACTGAGCCACTGCTTGCCTGGGGACAATCTCCAGGAGCAGCCTTAATACTCCTCATAGTCGGGACCTGGTACATACTTCTTATTCCCACCCTGCCACAGCAGGGACAGCTGTACTAGATACAGGCCTGGTCTTCCTCCCATATTTGTTGTCACCTGCCTCTTTTACCATCAGGGTCACCCCCTACCACCAGGCCCCCTACACTTGCCAAACCTAGATGCTCACTCCTGCCAAAGCAAAAAGGACACTCCCTTACCTGCTGAAGGCAGATATGACCCTATCGACTTAAGGCTGTTCCTACAATCTCTGCAGTGCTGCTCAGGGCTCCAGGATCCTCCCTGAAGAACGCTGTGCATGGTGCCCGCCCAACAAGGGCCCTCAGGAGCAGCTCACGGAGCACGGCAGGGTACAGGCTATGCCCCAGAACTGCCCATGTATTAAAAGGTCACCCACAGGCAACTGATTTGTTTCAGGGGAACTTGTGTTGTGGCCTTAGCACAGACCACCCACCATCACATAGCTCACTACACATCCTCTGTCAGAGAGAAAAACAATGGGCCCCCTCCACTGTGGTGTTGGAAAGACAGTGTCTGTCAGGGGAGAGGCCCCTGAGGAGGGGGGCTCAGCCCCACCTCCCCCTCTGGGCTACACATCAGTTCTTTTGCTAAGGGACATCTGTTCCACCAGCAGCTTTTGGCTCTCTGCACTCTGCTCCTCATCTTCCCTGAGTAAACATCTCATCCAGTCGAGGACAGCCCGGTGGATGGGGGTGGAGGGGGCTCCTACTGATGTCCCTTGGCTGCAGGGGTCTTAAGTGGTGAGCTGGAACGCCTACGCAGGTCAATGTAGTCCACCTATTTTTCCCAGAAAGGACGTGAGGAGTCTTTAAAAATGTATGATCCAATCCAATAAAAACAGATGAAAATATTGCCCTGAGGGGAAAATAAGGAAGAAAATGAAGCTGGGGTTCAAGGTCATGCACAGAAATTGTAAGTTTTGTAAAACTGCTAACAGTGGTCACATAGGCGGGATTGTGTTGTGTAAGGCAAAGAAAGAATCATGGCCCACAATGAAATTCAAATCACACACACACACACACACACACACACACGTCAGCAAAAGCCCACTGCGTGTCACCAGAGGCTCAGCATTTGATGGTTGCTGTACAGTAATTTCCTGAGAACGAATTCCTGCATGTGGGAGTCCTAAATCCACGGTTGTATAGACATTTGGGGCTGCTGCTTCACACTCCCACCAGCAGGCTGCTCTCACCCCTACATGCGGGATTGTGCCTTTTTTTTTTTTTTTTTTTTTTTTGGCAAGGGAGGTGGAGGAGTGCTTTGCAAATGTGATTCTGTGTTTTCATTCGTAAGTTATGAAATTATGCTGAGTGTTTTCTCACAACCACACTGCCAGTGTGTATTTTAAGTTGCCTGCTTAGTACTTTGTATGTATTTTCTGCTACATCACCTCACTCTCCCTTTAAGCCAATATTTGGATAGAGCTTTTTCCATAGATGATGTGGATTCCTTGCCATACATGTTATTAATATTGCTGGTTGCCTTTGTTTAGGCTCTTTGATACATAATTTTTTTTAGGTAGTAGAATCAAATTTTTGTTTTTATTTTTCTGTCAACAAATATTCACTAAGCTGCCTACTCTGTGACCATCCCCACTGAAACTTCTTAATCTTTTTGAGAAAACAGGAATTTAATTAATTTGACCAAGGCCACAGATCTGTAGGCTGGGATCTGGTTGAGGTAGAGATGGGTTACACAAGGGGGAGGTGCCAGTGAGTATGGAAAGGAGTAAGAAGCAGCATCCTGGGCCAGGAGGGCTGGCCTGGTGGGGGCAGGACAAGTGGCAGTCATCCTAGCCTAAACCTCTAAAATCCTTCCTCAACACTGTGGGAATGGACTGGAAGGCCAAGCCACACTCCAGAGTCAGGTTTGGTGCACAATTACACATACAAACCGGCAGGGGACATGAGGGATGCCAGAGCATCATGAACGGGGTTGTTCAGAGGAATATACACATCAGACATCCAAGGGTACCCAAGGGGAGCAGAAATCAAAACAAATCCAGGCAGCTTCAAGGTGTACAGAAGAGCATAGGGTGAAAAATCCACTGCAATGAGAAGGGCAAAGTGCAGCTGTATGCGGACAGCCATACCTGGTGACACTCAGCAGAGACCTGAGTCCCCCTTAGCCATCCAGTGCACCTCACTTGCAGCCTCCCCTGCCCATGGGTCTCCAGTCCTAAGCCAGAAACCGATGCTAAGGAAGAGCCCAGTGGTGGTGGCTGCAGGGGCCGAGGAAAATTGCTTATCTACAGAACAAGTTACACTGTGCCGGTCCCATCTCTCCAAGGTAATACTCTCACTGCTTGGGTAAGGACCTGAGTCTGCCAGGTCAAGACACAGCACATTCCCTCACTTTTCTGCAAAGTTGATGAGGAATGGAGCCAATGCTCTGGGACCCTCACTCCCCTACGCCTGCCTCTCCCTGTTACTCCCTATGGGGCTGGAGATAGCCTTTCTGCACATCAAGACCAGCCCGGGTTCTTCCTCCAGGAGTGCTCATCGCCGAGGCCCGGTGTGCATGATGTTCCTAGTGTTCTCAGCCTCCTCTGATCTCCTCCTCTGATTCTCAGCCAAATCCCCCACTATGGTCCCAGCACTGGGACTCTCCTTCGGAGCAATCAGAGCCACAACTCCATCTGTGGAGTGATCCACTGACTGGGACCAGTCTCACCTCTAGAACTTTCAGCTGCACACAAAGGCAGGAATTTTATCTATATTTACTCAAGATTATGCCTCTGATGGCCGGAGGAATGCAAAGGCATCCAGTCAGTTCTTGTTAAGAAATCAGGATTGAATGCACACAGGAATGAAGGGACTGGACTCTAACTTAGCCCCTGTTCAATGCTCTGTCACACACTGCTGGCCCAGCGCCATGATGATGCTTATCTTAAAAAAAGGCAGCTCTTATCCCACGGCACCCACCCATGGCCCCTGGCATCTCCTTTATGTCACCGCTTTGATGCCTTTCCTTCTGGTCCAATAAACTGTCACACCACTCAATTTTTGAGGAAGGGGACTGCTTTCAACCTTGTTATTAACCCGAGCCATGAGGCTCCAGAATTCTCAAAGTGTTAGCAGATCCAGCCTATGAATACTCCAAGCATGGTCCCTGAGCCAGCAGCATGGGCCTCGCCTGGGAGCTGGCCAGAAAGGCAGGCTCCCTTGCCCCACTGACTCCAAATCTGCATTTCCACAGGTCTCCAGGCAACGCCCCTGACTTCAAATCAAACACTGATGTTTGAAACTTCTGCTCCAAAGCCACAGGCTTACTCTAACTGGTAAAGAGCTTAAGGAGCTTCCTAACAGGCTATGGGTTTCTAGAAAAAAAGATTTATTTATTTTAAAAGACTTAGAGAGGAGAAAAGAGAGAGGAAGAGAGAGGGAGAAAAGGAGAGATTTCCTCCATCTGCTGGAACACTTCCTAGGGTTTCAACAACCAGCCCCCATACAGTATATCACAGGTGGCGACTCCATGGGCTATGCTACAATATCAGCCCTAGGCTGTGGAATTTGTGGGTAAACCTTGACTTTTCCCCTTCACTCTCCTGCCCCATTCTAAGACAAGGAGCACTGCAAATCCTAATTCTTGAGATTCTCAGGAAATTGTCTCATCTGAAAAGTGCCACCCACTCAGCCCTCAAGTCAAACTTGGGGGATCCAAAGAAGCACCTCAAGTGTTACCTATTCATACAGAATGCACCCTCACCCCAGCAACTCCTCAAGACAGAGACTGATCGGCCCTAGCGCGATAGCAAAGTGGTTAAAGTCCTTGCCTTGATCGCACCGGGATCCCATATGGGCGCTGGTTCTAATCCCAACAGCCCTGCTTCCCATCCAGCTCCCTGCTTGTGGCCAGGGAAAGCAGTCAAGGACAGCCCAAAGCTTTGGGACCCTGCACCCGCACGGGAGACCCAGAAGAGGCTCCTGGCTTTGGATTGGCTCAGCTCCAGCCGTTGTGGCTGCTTGGGGAGTGAACCATCGGATGAAGACCTTCTTTTCTGTCTCTTCTCTGCTCTGTATATCTGCCTTTCAAATAAAACAAAAATAAATAAATCTTTAAAAACAAAAAAGAGCTTTATAAAAAAAAAAATAAAGAAAGAGATTGAAGGCCCGGCGCAGTGGTGCAGTGATTAAGGTCCTCGCCTTGCACGCACCGGGATCCCATATGGGTGCCGGTTCTAATCCCAGCAGCCCCGCTTCCCTTCCAGCTCCCTGCCTGTGGCCTGGGAAAGCAGTCGAGGACGGCCCAAAGCTTTGGGACCCTGCACCCGCGTGGGAGACCCCGAAGAGGCTCCTGGCTTCGGATAAGCATAGCATCAGCCGTTGCGCTCACTTGGGGAGTGAATCATCGGATGGAAGATCTTCCTCTCTGTCTCTCCTCTCTGTATATCTGCCTTTCTAATAAAAAAAAAAAAAAAAGATAGAGATTGATCATCTCCATTTTTACAGATAAGAAAACTGAGGTTCCAGGACTCCCAGGAACAGAACCAAAGCTCACTCTCAGGTCTGTCTCACAGGAAAAACCTGGAGGACAGGCTTCTGGCCAAGTCCCTCGGGAAGGTGCACTCTGGTCCAACCACATTAGAATTCACTGTACCAGGGGTGAAACATCCCTATCTCACCAGGATAAGTATATTTCTTATTGCTTTCTAAAAGTTCACTGTAATGAGTGATAATTTATATACCATAAAATTCACCCTGAGTAATTTTAAGACGATGAGGAATGTGAACACTCCTGGAAATAAAGACATCCTTTTTCCTTTAAATGGAGTAGGCCTTCATCCAGTGAGCCCTAAGCAGCTGGGCCTGGAAGGCCTGCCTACCTTGGATGCCATACAGCCGGTTGAGGCGTGACCGCCGGGCCTCGTCAGTGTAGGGGACGGCAAGCCAGGGCATCTCATTGAAGTACTGCTTAAAGGACTCCTCTGACCTACAGAGACACATAGGCAGAACAAGGGTCTGTTAGTCCAAAGGTACCACCACTGGTCCGCATCTTGTACTCCATGCAAAAGGCCTTGTTATTTCCTTTGAAATTTATTTGAAAGTCAGAGATGGAGTGGGACACACACACATAGAATGAATCTTTCATTCACTGGTTTTCTCCCCAGATAGCTACAACAGGCAGGGCTGGGCCAGCTGAAAGCCAGGAGTTGCAGGAGCTTCATCTGAGTCTCCTATTTGAGTGCAGAGGCCCAAGGATCCAAACTATCTTCCACTGTTTTTCCCAAGCCATTAGCAAGGAGCTCAAGTGGAAGAAGAGCAGCCAGAGCTGAAACCAGCACCCACAGGAGATGCAGGAATTGCAGAATTGCAGGCAGCAATGGGACGTGCTAGGCCACCGTGTCAGCCCTTAGTGACTGGGTTTCCAATCTGCACACTCCTGGAGGCTACAGAAGTATGTTACTCCACCCATTCTGATGTTCATATAGAAGGCAGATCTGGCACTGTGGTGCCACAGGTTATCCTGCCATCTGAGATGTTGGCAGAATCCTGGTTTGAGTCCTGGCTGATCTGTTTCTGATACAGTATCTACTAATGCATCTGGGAAGGCAATGAAAGATAGAGCAAGTACATGGGTCCTTGTCACCCATGTGGGAGACCTGGATGGAATTCCTGGCTCCTGGCCCAGATCTGGTTGTTGCAGCCAGCTGGAGAACAAACTAGCAAATGGAAGATCTTTTTCTTTCAAATAAATAAATAAACAAAAGAAAAAAAGTCAGGCTGTTTCAGCGCTCACTCCCACTATACCTTACTGAATATATCCATGCCTATCTTTTTGTCTCTCAATACAAACAAATTTGATTTTTGTTTGCATACATGTATGTTTTTAATTTTAATGTTTTATGATATGGTTCCACAGGCACAGGGATTCCTCCCTCCACCCCCGCCCCATTCCTGCCCCAACTGTTTTCCCCAACATCAACAGTCACAAGTCCAACATTCTGCTACTTAAGTGTATTATAGTTTTGTAGGTACAGACAATGGTAAAAATTCTAGTATCCTATTGTCAAGGTATATTTAACAGTTTCATTCGGAGTCCTCCTTTTATTCGGGAGTAGAGTTGCATACTGCAATTCATCTTCAATTCTCAGCATGCTATTCTCCATTTACAGTTTACCCATGAGAATATATGTATATACTTGTTTGCTTATATATCTATTTATCTTACATATTGCATGAGGGCAGCAACATGTTGTTCAGTCCCCATGTACTTGCATATCTGAGGGGGTATTTGGACTTGTTGGTCTCTAGTTTCATTTTAGAATGGAGTGAGAAAATTCATGGTGATTTTTTTTTCCTGAAGCTTGTTTTTGTGGCCTATAATGTGTGATCAATCCTGGAGAAAGTTTCATGTATTGATGAAAAGAAAAAGGTGTATTCTGTGTGTGCAAGATGAAAGATTCTCTCAATATCAATTAAGATTATTTGTTCTATTGTCTGGGTGAACTCCGTTGTTTTCTTGCCGAGTTTCTGTCTCATCAATCTATCCGTTGAGGTTAATAGGGTGTTAAGGTCCTCCACTATTATTGTACTGGAGTCTATCTCCCTTTAAATCCATTACTATTTGTTTCACGTAGCTAAGTGCCCTGGCATTTGGTGTATATACACTTATTATTGTGCAGATGTGATTTTTCTAAGGAGCTTAGGTACGCAAAGCCACTATGATTTCTGTGACACTTCTATTCTGTGCATGGGACAGGGACATGGTTAAACCAAGCAGACATCTCTGATTCCATGAATAAATAACTTTGGGAAATCAACAACTAATTGAATGACAGCAAGCACAACAGGGGTTCAAAGTGGATCAAAGTGGAGCTGATCAAGAAGGTGCACAGAGCAACATTTTCTGAGCGATCAAAATGGCCTACAGCTGAACCACGGCCATGATGACTACAACGGCATCCATGTAAACCAAAGCTCAGGGAACCTAAAAGCAGACACATCATTGTATGCAAGCTGTATTTCCACAGATTGCTTAAGGTTTAAAACAAATGAACAAAACAACAGTGATCAACCTTGTCCACTCACATGCTTTGAGACAGTGCTATGGTGCAGTGGGGCAAAGCATGGGCCGGGAACTGAGTAGGGCAGGGATCTGGTGACTTTGAACTGGGGTCAGAGTTCTGAGATGAAGGAGGCTCACTGATGAGGAATGCCAGGTATGGGACGAGAAGTAAGGGAAGCTGAGGCTGAGAGGACCTAACTCGCTCCAGAGAGTGTGTCTACCCTGCTCGTGTTGGTGCTTCCTGTTCACATGCACTCAAATAGGCCCCAAACAAGTGCAAGGGCAAAAGTAAGAGAATGACAGATGGCACTGTTGTCCAAGCTGAAGTACGACTTCAGCTCTTTTCCACCCTGTGTCCTTTCACCACCCTCTCCTCAGAAATCAAGTCCTCATGTCCAACAACCCAGACCTGGCTTTCTTTCTCAGCTCTTCAGAACAATTAAGCGAGCAAATGAAAAATGTGTCCATCTCTTTGGCAATAATCCCTGATCCTCCACCTCCAAGAGTAAGACACGGAAGGCAGGAAGGAAGGCAGGAGGCACAGCCATTAACCACCGACATGCAAGGAGGAAGCCATGTCCATGCATTGTTACCTGTCCGCACTGACAAAGATGATCTCAAACTTCTGGCCTGCTTCCTTGATCTTCCGGTAGGATTCCACCAGGACCCGTGTGAGACTCCGGCAGGGTGGACACTGAAAGACAATGCCAGGACCCTGCTGTGGGACACACTTTCTCCATCCCCCAGCTGCTCTCCTCAGCAGTCTCGTAAGCTGGACCCAGGGAGGATGCAGACAGCAAAACCCTGGAAATAGCCTTGCTTCTCCTGATGGCTAGCACTCAGCACAGGCTCTTCCCCAGCCCACAAGGGAGTTGGCAGGCAGCAGCACTTAAAACAACTCCCAAGAATGCCTGAGAAGGCTGAGCCAGATAGGTGAGGAGGAACAGCCTTTTAAATCAGTCACAAGAACTCTTTTTCTTGGGCTATTATCAGTCACAATAAGTGCTGATTGCACAAGCTCCTATGAGGCACAGTCAGCAAGTAGAGCAAGACATTCCTGCTTGAACAGTCACACCTCCCGAACCCACAGCAGCGGCTGGCTTCCCAGACCTGGCTTTCTTTCTCAGCTCTTCAGAACAATTAAGTGAGCAAATGAAAAATGTGTCCATCTCTTTGCCAATAATCCCTGATCCTCCACCTCCAAGAGTAAGACACGGAAGGCAGGAAGGAAAGTGACGTCCTGACATCACTGAGCTCTTCATCTGGACTATGGTGGAGGGGGCCAACACTCACCCAGTGCGCGGAGAAATAGACGCCCACGTGGGACCCCTCCAGGCTGCTGCTGTCCAGGGACTGCCCGTTATTTCTAAGCAATGGCCCTGCAATGACTTCCCTGAAAGGCTTGGGTCCCCAAGGGAATTCCAGACCTGAAATAGGAGACAGATGGTGAGAAAGTGAAGACTTCATTACGGGCCACAGACCCAGGAGGCCTCAGAGCTGCAGGCAAGACAGCTTTATCACCAAACACCGTGTTTATGTCAGCACATCTGCAGGACCTGTAGGTAACGCAGGAAGGAGAGTAGAGCTGCTGCCTGACAGAGCCCTACCTCCTCTTATGACAAAGCTCCCAAACCTTGATGTTCACCAGGTCTGTCTCCTGGGGGCATATCCTACCTACATCATGGGGTATGGCAGCACAGCTGAGGAGGTATGATCAGAACCAAACATCACAGACTTCCCTGGTAAGTCCAATGGCAGGGCTGGACTCGGGAAGATCCCTGTCAACAATACTGACCATGAGTTGATATAACTCCAACCCTACCCTGCCTCTAAGTAGTTCTTAATTTTGACTGTGTTCTAGAATCAACTGGGGAATTTACAAATTTGATACTCCCAGACCTTACACATCAGAAATTCTGATTCCATTGGTCTGAGATGGGGCTCAAGGAACCAAGGGAGAGTTCAAGTAGAAAAAAAGAAAGGTTAGAAACACACCAACCCACGCACATGGCCAACATCCTGACCACATGTAAGCTCCAAGCAGGAAGAGTAAAGTAATGCTCCTGGCTCATCAGAACAGGGCCCACTTTCTCGAAATTCTTTGAGGGATGGGAGGGAGAAGCATAGATGTGGTATTTTGTCCCCCTCCCCCCCGTTAAAGCATGTGGTCATGCCTACCCTGAAACTTAAGAATCCAAAAGCTCTGAGGACGGGCCTGGGCACGTACATCACTACAGAGTTGTATCTGTGCTGAAACAACAGGGATGCTGACTTGGTTCTATCACGCTCCAGCTCCTTGAAGCAGATGAAACTTTGGACAAGCCGTGGCCAGGACTGAATTCTCTATGTGGATCAGGAAGCGAGGGATAGCCCTCATTCTTCCAGTGCTGAGGGGAAAGCAGCAAAGTACAGACCCCGAGCAGCGTCCCAGGGACCTGGCCAGCAAGACAATATGGTGGAGGCCTGCAGGATTTAGGCAGCCTCAAAACCAAGACACACACAGAGTGAGACTTTGTTGTGGTGATACAGGCTGAGCGCCCCTATTCCGAGGATCTGAGGAGCCTACAGGATGCTCCAAATGCCTTAACTTTGGAGGGTGGGCATCCAGCCAGCACCCCCATGGCAGGGCCTGTGTTCAATCTGCAGTTCAGCCTCCTCTGCTAATGGGGATCCCAAGGAGCAGTGCTGCTGGTTCGAGGACTCACATGGAAGACGTGAGGTCCCTAGCTATGGCCACTGGCCCCTGCCTGGCCCTGGGTCACTGCAAGCATTTGGGGAGTGAATGGGGAGATGGGAGCGGGAGCACTCTCTACCTGCCTTTGTGACATGTCTCTCAAATAAATATATATATATTTAAGTTTCATATTTTGGAAATTTCACATTTCTGATTAATGATGTTTAACTGCTGATGTCTAAGCAAATATTCCTAGAAACAAAATAACGTTGAAACCAGAAACACTTGTTTCTAAGCATTTTGGATAACAGATGTTCAATTTGTATTTTGAAGGTTTTGTTTGTTTGTTTTGCCTGAGAGCTGCTGTTGAAATAGTAGAAGTCGGGATCTGGTTTCTGGTTGCTTCTCAGCAGTCGCCTTCAGCCTTCAAAGTACAATGTTACCCGGGTTCCAGTTCCTCTGGCCCTCCAAGCCCCTAAAGGGGCATTCCACTGCTTCTAAGGATCTTAGCCTCAATCTATAGAATATTGCAATTTCATCAAGTCCGTGTTCTCTAGCCAAACACACATTCGCATATATCTCATCAACGTCCTCTCCAGCAGGAAGGGGTGGGAGCAGGGTACACAGGGGGAAATGGGGAAACAAGCAGAGGGGCTTACACGCAGAGGGGCTTACCTTCGGGGTCATCACGGATCACCAGCAGCCCATTCCTGCACACAACCTTCCCGGTGGTGGCATCTAGGAATATTAGTGATGGAATGTTGGAAATTCGGTACTTGTTCCAAAGTTTTAGCTGCCAGAGGAAAAACAAAAGAAAGAGACTCAGTTCAAGCAGGGTTCTCGTTAACCTCCAGGGATTGATGAACAGGAAAGTGCCAAAGTACAGATCAAGGAAAGCTGATCAAAGGAGGCTGCTGGGCTGAAGGCACAAGTTCACTAGTTGCACGGGTATCTGTGGTCCCTGTGGTTCCCACTAGCGAAGGGGCTCCAAGTCTCCCCCAGGCTCTAGCCATGACACAGGCTCCTGGAGACTCATCCTCTCTGCTTCTCTAGGAAGCATAAGGGGAAAATGGGATGAGCACAATGAAGCCACACTCAGCACTTTGAGAGGGAAGGGGCTTTTCCTTAGAGCCTCTGCTGCCAGCAGGTTATGGCAGTCACCTGCTCCCTTGTGACCCTGCTCTGAGGGGAAACAAAGGTTGGGCTTTGCAATGGGACACCAAGGACTTCAAATCTGTCCTTCTGCCTGTTCCACCAAAGGCTTGCACTGGGAGAACCACAATGTCCATGGTCGGTCAGGGCCTGTCAAACCCCACGGAAGCAGCATACTAAAGCAGCCCAAACCCTCAGCTCTCAGCACCACTCTCAACAACCTCCAGCTTACTGGCTAAGCACCCTATCCCAGGTCACGACTCTCAGAGACATGAAGCCAAAGAGTTGTGAGCCACCCAAGGACATATCAGTGAAAATCAACCATAGCTACTTCCAGGGGGACAGAGGACAGCCTTGGTGTTTAGCAGTGGACACCAGCTACATTTATGAACCAGTCAGTATGATACACTCACACAGCAACAAAACTAACTGGGACGTATCCCCATTGTTAGGTGACCTGTGACTGACGGTATGTGTAAGGTCCTTTGATGGCCCAGTGTACAGAGCAAACACAGTCGGTGGCTCCCTGGCTGTGCTGGAAGTTAACTGTCAAATCCACACAGCAATACCACTCATTTAAAGAGATGTCTTAGCAACACGGCTCCAGAACAGATGGAAACACGGCAATAAGAGACTGGACCACAGGTGAAGCCATCGAGCTGAGCCTTCCTCCTTCCTGGCGTCCAGAGGAAGGAGAGCTGGGTGCCTGGGTACTGACACAAGAGGACACGGAGGTGTCAACAGGCCAGCTAGCTGCAGCAGGGGAAATGCCCATGGGGCTGGACCTGCCATGCTTTTCATTCAATCCCAATCAGGAAGAGAGCAGGCCTAGTGGGAGTCTGCCCACTAGGCCTGAACTTCCAATATGAGAGTTAGAGCATCGGCAGGGATCCCCACCTCAAAGAAGGTAGGACACGACTCAGCACAGCCTGTCTCTCCCAGCCCTAGTTTCCTGGAGACTCACAGGGCCCCCCGAGAGAGCTGCTCTGCACATGGCCTTCAGTGCCCCACATCTCTGCAGAGGGACCAATGTGGGATCCAGAATCGACATTCTGTGCCAGCCATAGTGTCAGACCATCCCATTGCTGGGATTCTCCTCGTAATTTTATTGTACAAGGGTGCAGCCAGGTTAAGTTTTAAAGAAGAAATGAGAAAACTAAGATGACTGCACTCCTCTGGCTGACAAAATAATTTGGGGTATATATGTGAGGGGAGAGTACTCACTGGAAAAACTACAAAAGATTGGGGTAAAAGTCACCCGTGAGTCACCCCTTGGGAAAGCTTAGGCGTCTGACACTTCCACCAGTGGCAAATGAGAGAGCTCATGAGCACTGTCATCAACACCTTCCCTGACGCGAGCGTTTCCGCTTGGACGGGAAAAGCCGCCTTGCCCTTGCTACTCAGCTTTCCTTGCTGATGTTCAAGAGACACAACGCTACAGACACTATTCCGCAGCCCTCCAGTCCAGCAGGCTTTCACGCAACAGAGCGATGGCCACAGGATTGCTCCATACGTGCCAATCCTAATGTCAGCACCGGAGGGACGAGAAAGAGCAAAGTCACAGCGCTTGGGGAGCTTCTGCATGAGTGGAGAGAGACCACCAGTAAGGACGTGAGCAGAAAAACAATGCCAGATACTTGGACAAAACAGGAAATAATAGAACAAATTTAGAGCAAAACATGGTTGGGGGTACACGTGATCTGAGGGAGGGCCTCTGCGGAAAAAGGTCATAGGAGCAAAGACCTAAAGCAAAACAGAGCAAGCCACACACGCCCGCCACCCATCAGGAAAGACGGCCTGGGAGACTGCTGGCAAAGGCTGCAGGGGGTGGAGCCGACCAGCATAGCAAGGGGGCTGTGAAAAGGTCAAAGGGCATCTATGGACCGGATCTTTAAGGCCCCACAGCCTGTGGCAAAAACACAGGGTTTTATTCTGAAAGTAATAGGAAGCTACTGAGGGCTATCAGGAGAGTAGTATGACCTGACTGATAGCTTAAAAGATCACTTGTAGGAAAAGATGACAGGATGGACAACGAAAGACAGGAGACCATGTTTAGAGGCCAGAAGGCCTGAGCAGGACATGTGAGCAGACGGAGGCATTAGGGCATAGCAACAGAATGAGGGCATGGTCTTAAAAAGCATTTATTCATTCAGAAGGCAGAGTGATAGAGGGAAGGGAGGGAGAGGCAGGACAGAGATCTTCCATCCACTGGTTGAATGGCCTCAATAGCCAGGGCTGGGCCAGGGCTGAAGCCAAGAGCTTCCTCTGAATCTCCCACGTGAGTTTCTGTGGCTTTCCCAGGTGCAGGGGGCTGGAGTGGAATTGGAACAACCTCAGGACAGGCTCTACTGTAGACTCAATACGGTCAGAGAATCAGTTGAGTGCCTGAGGACAATTGAGGGTAAAAGACACACTCAGTTTAGGGCTTGAGCAAGTCGGTTTAGGACAGTCCCTCCATCCAAGACAAAGTATGGAAGAGGTCATTTGAAGGGTGAAAAAATCAGGACAGACTGGGCCTACCTTGAAGAGGCTGGCAGACATGCCCCAAGTGAAGATTTCAAGTAGGCTCCTGGGGTCACAGACGTAGACTTCGGTGAAGACAAAGCCTGAGTTTAAATCCGGGATCATCAACAACTAGAGGATGTTCAAGGCCATAGGCCTGGATAAGATCATCCAAGGAGAGGACAGGGCAACAGGGGAGACCCCAAGGTACAGCAGGGACCAAGGGTGCAGGAGCTAAGGAGCAGCACCCAGGAAATAGGGGAGCAAAGAGGAGACTGAGGCCACAGAGGGCAGGGCAAGGCCATCTTTTGGAGCAGAGAAGTCTGGCAACCTCATGAGATGCTGCTGGGAAGCTGAATAAGATGAGGGCAAGGAGCTGACCACAGAATGTGGCCAATATCGTCACATAGGACACTGATGGGCTGTGGAGGACAGTGATATGGAAGTGGGAGGAACAGGATACAGTGCTGTCCGGCACACACACCCACAGTGGGTCACATTTGAGTCTTTCTGCATAAATAGAACACACTGGGAAGACAATAAAGCAGAAACAAACCAGCAGATAAGGGGCTGAGAGAGCAAGGATGGGGACAGACAGTGCTTTAAAAGCCACCATGAGGTCAGGACAGAAGAAGGAGGTTTCACAAGCCCTACAACATTTGCCGATTGAGATATTCCAGAAGAGAAGGGGAAGCCGAAGAATCAAGTGAGTGGGCAAAATGTAAGCGGGTCACAAAAGCAAAAGGGGAGCTGGCACAATGGCTGACTTGTGTGCTAGACTCTTCCTGCGAAGTCGTTTTCTGGTCTCAGCAGAAAGCGGTACCATCTCCAAACAAAGACGACTTTCTTTTCAACAGCTCTGCCGTTTACTTCCTTTTCTTTCTTTCTTTTTTAAAGATTTATTTTTATTATTATTTTTTTATTGGAAAGGCAGATATACAGAGAGGAGAGACAGAGAGGAAGATCTTCCGTCTGCTGGTTCACTCCCCAGGCAGCTGCAACGGCTGGAGCTGAGCCAATCCGAAGCCAGGAGCCTCTTCCGGGTCTCCCACGCGGGTGCAGGGTCCCAAAGCCTTGGGCCGTCCTCGACTGCTTTCCCGGGCCACAGGCAGGGAGCTGGAAGGGAAGCGGGGCTGCCGGGATAGAACCAGCGCCAATATGGGATCCCGGGCGTGCAAGGTGAGGACCTTTAACCACTTGCGCCACCACGCCGGGCCCTACTTCCCTTTCTTGCAGAACTACGTTGGCTGAAAGAGCAGCATTCTTATCTGCTACCTGACTACGACAGATGTATCTGCCAAGCCTCACTCTCCACTGCAGCGTGCGCCTTCGGCTTGCCAGACTCTGTTATGCTAACCGTATGCCCAACCATCTTACATAGAGGATACTACTAACATTAAAATGGATCAATAATTATGCCACTTTCGCTAACTTCAAAGTACGTAGTATGTTGCTGAAATATTTACAAAAATTGAAAACTTGGGATTTAATGAATTAAGACAGTCTTCTACGATTCTGTTATACAAAACTGTATCAAGAATGCCTGGCTACTTTACGACTGCTTATTCGTCGAAGTTGTGGTATTGTTCATAAGTAGCCATACCCTTACCTTCTAAGGCCAGATGGATGTCCAGCCCAATCTAACATCAATAGGATCTTATTTTTCCTGGGGCTTGAGGCTCCCACAGGCGAATGACATCCTGGAATAGGACCCTCCCTTTGTGTAGTAAAATGTGCAGTATTCTGTGAGCCTTACATGTAAACCTGGCCAATGTAACATAAGTACAGCGGAGTGGCCTGACAGTAGGCAGCACAGCCTCACTGAAACACAGGCCCGTGATTGGCTCTGGCTCCTCAGCTCTTCTTAAAGCAGTGATGGTGAGGTTTGGCAGCCCAGTCTTCAAACGCCCTACAAAAGACGCAAACCCCTCCTCCTTGCTACAAGAAGGAAGAGTCCAATTTCTTCTGGATCCCTCCTGCAGGCCAAAGAATTTTTTTTTTTTTTAAAAGATTTATTTTTATTATTTTTTCATTGGAAAGGCGGATATACAGAGAGGAGAGACAGAGAGGAAGATCTTCCGTCCGATGATTCACTCCCCAAGTGAGCGCAACGGGCCGATACTATGCCGGTCCGAAGCC